GATGGACAGACGCAGAGCAATTGATGTCATCTAACTGGACTTATGCAAAGCGTTCGACCCTGTCCCTGAGAAAATGAACATGAGCCAGCTTCAGTGTGTACTTGCAGCCCCGAAAGCCAACTGTATCCTGGGCTGCATCAAAAGGAGTGTTACCAGCAGGTCAAAGGAGGTGATCCTGCCCCTCTGCTCTTGTGAGACCTCACTTGGAGTATTGTGTGCAGTTCTGGTGTCCTCAACATAAAAAGGACATGGAACTGTTGGAACAAGTTCAGAGGAGGGCCACGAGGATGATCAGGGGACTGGAGCACGTCCCATATGAAGATAGGCTGAGAAAGTTGGGGCTGTTCAGCCTGGAGAAGAGAAGGCTGCTTGGAGACCTCATAGCAGCCTTCCAGTATCTGAAGGGGGCATATAAGGATGTTGGGGAGGGGCTCTTCTTTAGGGACTGTAGTGATAGGACAAGGGGTAACGGGTTAAAACTTAAACAGGGGAAGTTAAGATTGGATATAAGGAAGAAGTTCTTTACTATGAGGGTTGTGAGGCACTGGAATGGGTTGCCCAGGGAAGCTGTGAATGCTCCATCCCTGGTGGTGTTCAAGGCCAGGCTGGACAGAGCCTTGGGTGACACAGTTTAGTGTGAGGTGCCCCTGCCCATGGCAGGGGGGGTGGAACTAGATGATCTTAAGGTCCTTTTCAACCCTAACTATTCTATGATTCTATGATTTCTAAGATTTTGGTTGGTTTTTTTGTTTGTGTATAGTTTGTTGTTTTGTTAATTCCTGGGATTTTTTCTGGTTTTCTAGTGTTTTTCTTTGTGTCTTTTTTTGGGGAAGCTATCTAATACAACCGAGCTATACCCATTCACAAAAGTAGATCATGTTTCGTTAAAGACACCATTTAGCAGGATGCAAAACGTACTTCTAGAGGTGCATCTAGGAAAGGTCGTGTCATTCCAACCTTATCAGTAGAAGTTACATGCAGATAAAAGGGGAGAACTGGGACATTTAATGTTGGAGTAGTTCCTCCCAACACACAGAATAGAAAGTTAGACAAGGAATGTTAAAAACCCTGCCTGAGAAGTAATGAGAGTGGTGTAAGCTGGTGTTCCATGTCTGGCCTAACGGCCTTTGGTGTCCTAGCTGCATAAGTAAATATCTGCCTGTCACTCACACGCAAAGGGAGGGCAAGCCAGTTGCTGTTTATGTAGTGCTACAGTTGGGGTTGTGCAAAATAGAGAGTGCATTGCAGCACAACACCTCTGTAGGCTCACAGGAGTCCACAAGCAGCACGAACATCAGTGGGACAATTCAGGCACAATGAAGTATCACACAGAAACATCGCTCATTTGGCTGAAACTCATTCAAACAAACAGAAATCAAACAAAGATTACACAATCCCCATTAGCTTCATTGTGCATGCTGGCACCTGTGATGGTGTTTGAGAGAAGCCAGTTTCAGGTACTTAGGCTGGCATTTGAGTAAAGCATCAACACCTTTAAGGACCACAACCAAAGAAGGTTCTTTCAACAGAAAATTAGCAGTGAGTCTGCTCATGTTGTTGTGTAAAATGAGCAGGGAAGCAGGTGCATGAGGATGTTCTTGGAGGTCCTTTCACAAGGCTCACAAACATCACTGCAGTTACTGGGTCTCTTTGTTCAAGCCTGTTGCCTTCCCTTCAGTTTCCTGGTTCACAGCAAGAGCACAGCACAGCACCTCTCCCCTGTCTTTATGACAAAATGAAGTGTGAAGTGACTGGGTTGTGATGCTTGTCCTGTAACTCCTCCCCATGCTGCAGTTTAGCTTAAACACTGGCAATTTCTGTCTGCAACCTTTCTGTCTTAATGCATGTGAAATGTTGGGGAGAATTTCAGAAAGTACCAGCAATTGACAGACACAGGTGCACAAATCCATGAGACCTGATGAGATGCACCCACAGATCCTGAGGGAACTAGTGGATGAAGTGGCTAAGCCACTATCCATCATATTTGAGAAGCTGAGACAGTCTGGTGAACTTCCCACTGACTGGAAAAGGGGAAACATAACCCCCATTTTTTAAAAGGAAAAAAGGAAAACCCATTGAACTACACGCTTGTTAACCTCTTGTCAGTGCCCAGCTAGATCATGGAGCAGATTCTCTTGGAAATTGTGTTAAGGCACACAGAAAATAAAGTGACTGATGACAGCAAATATGGCTTCACTAAGGGCAAATCATGCCTGAACAATTTGATAGCTTTTTATGACAGGGTTATAGCATTGGTGAATAAGGGAAGAGTGACTGACATCATCTGCTTAGACTTGTACTAAGCACTTGATGCTGTCCCACATGACATCCTTGTCTCTAAACTGGCAAGACATAGATCTGACAGATGGACCACTTGGTGTATAAGGAATTGGCTGGATAGTCACATTCAAAGAGTGGCAGTCAACAGCTCGATGTCTAGGTGGAGGCCAGTGACGAGTGGTGTTCTTCAGGGTGTTGGGGACAGTATTATTTAATATCTTTGTTGGTGACGAGAACAATGGGATTGAGTGCGCCTTCAGCAAGTTTGCCAACAATAGCAAGCTGTGTGGTGCAGTTGACATGCTGGAGGGATGGGATGCCATCCAGAAGAACTTTGACAGGCTTGAAAGATGGACCCAGCTTCCTGAAGTTCAACAATGCCAAGCGCAAGCACATGAGTCGGGGCAATCCCAAACAAACACAGGCTGGGCAGAGAATGGATTCAGAGCAGCCTTGTGCAAAAAGGACCTGGGGGTGTTGGCTGATGAGAAGCTCAACATGAGTGTAAGTTCACAGTCCAGAAAGCCAACTGTATGTTGGACCGCATCAAAAGAAGTGTGACCAGCAGGTTGATGGAGGTGTTTCTCCCCTCTACTCCACTCTTGTGAGACCCCGCTTGGAGTACTGGTTTCAGCTCTGGGACCCCCAGTGTAAGAATAATGTGGGCCTATTGAAGCAAGTGCAGAGGAAGGTCATGAAGATGATCTGAGGGCTGGAGCACCTCTCCTAATAAGACAGGCTGAGAGTCAGGGTGGTTTGGCCTGGAGAAGAGAAGGCTCTGAGAAGGCTCTTATAGAAGCCTTCCACTACTTAAAGGGAGACTGCAAGAAGTCTGGAGAGGGGCTTTTTACAAGGACAATTAGTGACAGGACAAGGGGGAATGGCTTTCAACTGGAAGAGGGGAGATTTAAGTTAGATATTAGGAAGAAGTGTTTCACTAAGAGAGTGGTGAGGCACAGGAACAGGTTGCCCACAGAAATTGCCGATGCCCCACCACTGGCAGTGCTCAAGGCCAGGTTGGACAGGGCTTTGAGCAACCTAGTCTAGTGGGAGGTGTCCCTGCCTATGGCAGGAGATTGGAACTGGGTGAGCTTTAAGGTCCCTTCCAACCGAAACCATTCTACGATTCTGTGAAATGGGGTGACAGCACCAGAGGCCAAGGGGAGTGCCCATCACTGGGAAAGAAGGGCAGCTGTGGGACAAGAATAAGCTTTAGAGAGGGAAAGAACACAAGAGCAGGGAAAGGACATGACAGGACAACTGCTGCACATTTTCCACCGATGGTGGAGAGGTACTTCTACGCACGTAATGCATACATGTAATAGTGTTCAAACACACCCACACTGATGAATCCATGGTCCACTGCTTTGCTATGTATGACCAACTCCTCTTGAATCTCTGATGATACCTTCTGCCTTTTCACATCCAAGCCTTACCTTTGAACTTCATTTTACCTGGGGGGCATCTCTCATGTTTTATTTCATTTAAGGAAATGGGCATATTCTGTTTCAGAAAATAGAGTATTGTTTTCCTGTACTTTCATTTCAGCAAACTATGGTCAAATCTTTTGGATTCCAGGAAACCGATTCCCATAGCCCCACGTTCCACCTACTTGACTTGAGGTAGAACCAATTAATCTGTCATCGGTGCTTAAGGCATCACAAAGTCACAAAGTTACCACACCAGTTAATGTGGAACAGGGAGGGAGGGAGGAAAAAAGGTATAATTAAGGCAGCTTCCCGTTTTCGCTTTGCAAGCTTGACCCTCAGCTTGGTGACACAGATATGAATCTGAATTTCTAAAACAACTTTCTGCTCTTTCCTCTGTGGTGCCAAGTAGTTGTTACCGTGTTGAAAAGATCTCCCCCCTTTTCTTGCTCCTCGCTCTCAAAAACATCAAGACGTGGGAAGGTCAAACTAATGTTGAGAATTAAAACCTAAAATGAGACTTCACTGAATTTGACACTGAATATGCCACTTTTATTAATCATGCCTTTGAAGGCACTGGAGGCGTGCAGGTTACAAGGGATTAACGTTTATTTTTATAACAGAATTTCTAATGCATTTCCCACCCCCACATCCATATTAGCAATGTGCATTTTAATAAATTGCTTACAATAAAAAAATTGCTTAGAATATTCCTTACAATGATAATAACTTTAAAAAGCTGCTAGAGGAAAAACAACCTCAGGCTTCACTGCAACTGTCAGCATTACAGATAGGAGTTCCTGTGCAAGTCCGAAGTATGTGGTGGCTTAGCTAGTGGCTGCATTTAATATATCAAGGCCAGGTTGGACAGGGCTTTGAGCAACGTGGTCTACTGGAAGTTGCCCCTGCCCATGGCAGGGGGTTGGAACTGGATGATCCTTAAGGTCCCTTCCAACCCAAACCAGTCTGTGATTCTAATGACCATTAACAATAACGGCAATAAAGACACCCTCACGATGATCTGGTGTACCACGGTGCCACCTCCAGGCAGCGTGCGAGCTGGCTCTTGCTCCTGCTTCACACCACTCGCTTTCGTACCGGCTTTTGGCCGGTCACCGCCTCCCGTCCCCTTCGCTGCCCGGCTCCTAACACCCTCCTGGGCAGCACCATTCCGTGCCCGCCCGCCCGCACGCCCCTGCACCTACTCATTCTACCCAAACCACGCTACCCCACCACCCTCCCAGCAGGGCCCGCTCGCCCCCCCCATGGACCACGTGACAGCGGCGGGAGGGGCGGGGCCACCGGCAGGCCCCTCTCTCCCCGGCAGCCCTGCGCTGTCGTCCCGGCGACGCGGCGGAGCGACTTGGTGTCGGGTGGAGGTGGTTGGCGGCCCCGCCCGCAGCGCCACTGTGAGTTCGGGGGTAGGCGGGGAGGGGGAGCTGGGTTCGTCCTTGGTGGGCGTCGTGAGCGGGTGTCCCTCGGGGCCGCGCCGCTTGGGATGGGGGATGCACCGGAGTGAAGGAGCTGCCGGTGTAGGCAGGAGCGGGAGCAGCCCGCGGCCCGTCGTCCGTCCCTGAACAGAGTAGCTTCTCCTGCTCTCAGGGATGGATGGGCTGGGTCACCAGAGCTCTGGCCTCGCGTGCTGCAGGAGCTACTCCGCTCTCTAGGGCTGGCCTTGGGAGCGGGAGGTTTGGGTGTGCAGCGTGTGAAGATGGGGTCCTGCCTGCTTTGGTTTTGGGAAGGCTGGTCCAGGCCTTGGCAGCCAGAAATGTGCAGATTTATTGAAAGGAGGTGAATCTTTATTCATGAGAACCAGGGCGGAACTTCCAGGGCAGGCAGTCTTGAGTTTCGTGGCCTGAATAAGCAAGGGTTGTGCTCCCCTTTCTGCCATGAGTTGGTATAAAGTTAGTTACCTGCACGATTTTGAGACAACTGAATGTCATCAGGTGAAACTAAAATTGGTATGGGAACGGGCATTTATGGAATTTATAGTGGTGCAGGGACACTGAAACACGAGAGTAGTCCCTGTTCCTTTTCCAAGGCTGGATGCTGGGTAGTCCAGCAGCAGGTCTCACTGAAACCATGACTATTCCTGAAACTCCCTGTGCCGCACATTGCGGTGCAGAAGGAGGTTCCACGGGGTGGGGGGAGAGGAAACCTTCCTGGCACAGAGTGGCACCATCCTGGCAGGTCACTGAAACATCCTGAAAGAGTTGGTGTGTATCATTTTGGTTTGAAATTTGAGCTGCTTCGGAACAAACCAAGGGAAAATGTATCCAGCAAACTGGAGTTCCCCCTTTTCAATATGTCTCATCCTGAATGGGGAATACGAAAATAGATGCAACTGTTTCGCAAATAAGTGAAACAACGTATTAGATTTTCAAAAATATATTTTTTGGGGGGGGGGGGTTTGTTGGGGTTTTTTATTGGGTTTTTTGTTGTTGTTGGTTGGTTGGTGGGTTTTTTTTAATATTTAATGCAGTATATTTGAAAGTACAACTTTTTGACAGTGTTATTAATTCTTGCTTGCAGCTGAGCGGTCATGCTTTTGAATAACCACTCGTCTTTTGATTAGAGTAATGGATTTAGAGTTAATCTCAAGAACTTGATCCGCCTGTCATGGGGCCTGATTAGCATCAGCTTTAGTGATGCATCGTCACTACAAAGAAGGTTCTTGTGGCAGCAGTTTGTTGGTGTGTTGTTGGTTGTTTGGTTTAATTTTTAAAATCTGTACAGTACATGCTGTGCTGTGCGATGCTGCCAGATTTGACCCTTGAGAGTAGTACCATGCTCTGTGAATGGTTTTGGTGATTTCAGCACTTACTGTAAACAGGTTGGTGAAATTGGGTTGAAAGCGCTTTGCTTATCTGTGTGGGAGGTCTTTATTGAGTCATGTATCCCAGTCTGTATTTCAGTTTGAGGGTAGCCTGTTTACCATGCAAATGTAAAACTTTCGGTAATGCCTGATACTTGTGTAGCAGAAATGCAGATGATTTGCTGTTATCCATTACATTCTGAAATGTAATTCAGACACTAAAATAATTTGAAGTTGCTGCTAGTGCTTAGAATAAAACAGCAGTAGTACAGTAAAAGTAAAAAATTGCTTAAATTATTTAGTAGTTGTTCAGATTCTCTAAATTTACACAAATCACTAGATTATTTCAAGCTATTGTATTTTGTCCTTTACTTGTCCCCTACTTTAATTCTTCACTAATCCTGTGTGAAGAGATTATGGGCAGTATGTCATTAAGAGTATCAAACAAGCTGTTGTTTACAGTAGGATTTCTCTTTTCAGTTTGTTAGCTGGCTATTATGACAGTTTTACATTTTAGAGCTTCATATCACTGAAGAAATATCATCATATAAGCTTTAGGTTGGGAAAGGCCACTTCAGGGACTTGTGTTAACCAGAAAAGGTAGATTGAGCCATTCCTTTTCCCCAGGCTGGTCCAAAAGAGAAAACTGACCTGCAAATTTGAAAAAAAAAATAGAGAGCACAGAGAAAAAAATTACACATCTGAGCTGAGTACATGTGGTACGAAGTATGAAATGTGCAGAAGTCTGTTGTAGCGAAACGTGAATCCCTAGAGCATTTGCATTCTAACTCCTCATGCACTGTAATTCCAGTAAGAGTGGAATAAGCCCTGACCTTGATGTTGCAGGAGGGTGATAAAAGCAAGTACTTGTTAACATCATTATTCTAATATTGGTGAGCAGTAGAGTCTTGCAGGGTCCAATGGTGTGCTTCTTGGTCAGCAAACCTCTGTCACCGTACAGCATTTATTTTGGTATACTGCATGCCATAACATTGCCATAAAATTGATCATTTACTTGTCCACAGAACTCTATAAATGCTTGTAGATATTTCTGTATGAAGGATAAATTCTCAAAAAGAGCCACATGTGATACCTGCAGTCCTTTTTTTCACTGCATTTGGTCAGTTTTCAGTTTATAACGTCTCATTATAAGAATTCCCTTGTTTGTTGTTAACTGTAAGTGACCTAGACAATTCTTTCATAAGAATCATCAGTGGAGTGGCCTAGCATGGATCTGTGTGGTGGTGAGTGTATGTGGTGTGTATGGCGGTACATAGATGTTGTTGTTGGGGTATGTAGTTTTCACACCTGGTTTTGTGCCTTTCCATAGAGTGAATTTGAAACTTCCATTTGACTATCGAAAGAACGTGCTGACATTTCTGTACTGTACTTGACCAAATTCTTTCATAGCCTAAAAATTACAATGTACAGCAGAAAAGGAATAAGGTAATAAAATGTATTACAGAACAGACTTTCCTGGGTTCAGCAGTAGCAGTCATTTTTCTCCTTCTTGGTAGCTGGTGCAGTGCTGTGTTTTGACTTTCGGCCTGGGAACAGAGCTGATAACAATGATGTTTTGGTTTGGCCAAGGATTTTGTGAGCCTCATGCTCTGCCAGGGAGGAGGGGAAGCCGGGAGGAAGCAGAGACAGGACACCTGACCCAAACTGACCAAAGAGCTATTCCATACCACAGCACGTCATGCCCAGGAAGGTAACTGAGAGTTACCCGGAAGGTCTAGAGTACTGTGGAGTTTGAGGAGGTATCAGTCGGTGCTTGCTCGGGCTGGGGGGGTGAGTTATCGGTCGCCTGGTGATGAGGTGGTGTATTCTCTTCCCTTGTTATTTCCTTTATCATCATTATTATTGGTGGTACCAGTAGTGATTTGTGTTATACCTTAGTTACTAAACTGTTCTTATCTCAACCCATGGGAGTTGCATTCTTTTTGATTCTCCTCTCCATCCCTCTGGGAGTAGGGGGAGGGCAAGAAGGGGGGGAGTGAGTGAACGAGCTGTCTGGCTGGGTTTAAACCACGACACAGACAAAATGCATAATCGTGTGCGTGATGTGTCACATTACATAGGACTACTGGAGGGAAGAAAAGCTGTATGTGTTGTTGTTTCAGATGCACATGCTGAAATAATAGAATTGGACAAAAGGAATAATTGTAAAAGCATGTGATTAATTTATACTCCAAAAATAACTAGGAAAGCTGATAGGATTTAGGCACCAAATTAGATGACTCAAAAGTCAAAACTTGAGGTTTGTGTCTAGATCCGGATGTATTTATTGCAATACAGAAGTTTTCATCTTGGTATTTTGGTTCATTAGAGAGCAAAAGGTTGGGCATGAAATGCATGTATGTTCTCCAAATCTTTAGTATGTGTGACTCTAGGCAGGCTCGGGCTCTCTTTGGCTGATGTTGCTGAATCCCCTCTACAAACCGTGTCTTAAACAATGTACAATGATATTTGTTGAAACAGTGAAACACAGGCACCCAAATCCTGTTACATTTAACTTTGTTGTATGAAAGTGCAGTTTAGAACTCAGTCATAATTTGACTTGTCTGTGATTGTTACGCATTAAATCTGTTTTCTAGCTTTGTTATAGAACGTGCTGTTAACCAGTGATCTAACTTTACTATAGTGATAGTTTTGGGAGGGTGAATGGATAAAAAATACCTTATGTTTTTCACTGCCAAACTGGTGGTTGGTGCAGAGATTATAAATTGAGGTGTCTACTAGGTCACCTGTTACTGGCATCTTGACAGCTGATGTAAGATTCTTCCCTGGTAATAAAAGCAACAGGGAGTATCAAGGTATATGTTACAACTTATCCAAGGAAGCAGCATTTCAAGTAATAAGAGCTTGGAAACATCAGTTTATTGTCAAGGCAGATGTTCCCTTTACACAGCAGGCTAGTCTGCCTGAGAATGCTGCATTCACTCTTGTAAGAGGCCAATTTTATTGTTGAATTTTGCCATGCCTGTAAATCTCAAGCCTGAGGCTTGTTACCAGCTGAATTTGAATTCCTTAATCTGTTTGGACAGCATTACTAGCCTGTAGCTAATTCTGGTGTAAGGATAAGGACAACAGAGTTGCATTCTGAATCCTGCATCTTCTATAGAAGTAGGCTAACAGTGGATGCAGATTGATTTGAGCTTTATTTTGCATTCTGAGACAACAGAGACAAAAGGTAGCAATAAGGCTGGGATTTGTTTAGCAGGCCATGGTTTGTTTGTGCGTAAGCCGTTAGGGTTACAGTGAATAAATGGTACAGTGATTGGTTGCTATTTTTTCCTAGGCCCGCATAAATAAGTGGGTAACTGTTGTGAGTTTGCTTGAGTACCATAATAACAGTTTTTAGGATTACATCTAGTGGTCAGCTGGTGCTAAGGTTAAAATTGGGATTTGTACATAGGACCTTCTGTGGTTTGAAGATTTTAAAGGAACTACTTACATTGAAGAGTTATTTAAAGAAATGGGGGTTGTTATTGTTGACAAATAGTAGACTCTCCTAAAATATTGTAAAATTACTTACTACCCCTTTTTGTTTGTTTGTTTTAGGATCTATATAAGAATGACCATGTTCTCCTGTCTCTTGAATTTCATGTCTGGATCTCAAAGTAACGGTAATTTGGAGGAGACTAGTGAATATCCTGTACCATTATGAGAAGATTTTCACCAACCTAAAACAGTCTGAAAAAAATTTCTCTAAAAAAATCAAAGATCATAGAATCCTTTGATAAGACGGAAGACATTTAGAATTTATAAGGTTTTGGTTATCTAGGTCTTAAGAAAAATGAACCGTTACACAGTCATGAAACAGCTAGGTGATGGCACCTATGGCAGTGTGTTGATGGGCAAGAGCAATGAGTCAGGAGAACTTGTGGCTATCAAAAGGTATGTGACATCTCAATTCAGTAAAGGTATTTGCCAAAGCTTAAATATTTTCACTTTTAAATTTATTGTTGTCTCCATCTGTGTAGAATAGAAATAAATGTCCTTTTTAAGGAAACTAACATAACAGAATTTTTTTTTTTTAGTTAAGACATTTAATGAGGTGACTGTGGGTCAGCCTTCAGCTAACAGATCAAGAGAGAGACTCATTAGTTTGTATGTTACCGACTTATCTTGGCTTATAAAATTGCATGCTCCTTTTGTTCAGTTCAGACATACTTCCTTCTAAAAGTGGTATTGGTTGCTAACACCAGATGAAAAGCAAAACTGATGTGCAGTTGATTAATTAGGGGTTTTCTTTATTTACGTGACTTGTAAGAATAACCATCCTAATGAGTGGATCTGAAAGGCCTTCCCACCCCCAGAGATCTTTTTAGGTGCATTACATTACATTTGAGATACTGTTACAATGATAAATGCCAGGTGACAATCTGGTCAGGTAAACAAAGGCTGTCTCCTTGGATACAATGAAGTTGTGTTATGCATTGTCATACTTGTTTAAGGAGATTTTTACAAAACAACAATAATTGTACTACAGGAATGGGGAAGTTCCCCTTATATTCCTACAGAGCTGCAAGTTGAAATACCAGAAATTGTATGTTGCTGAGATTTTTTTCTTCTCCATTTATGGATTTAATCTAAGCTAAAAATAACCCTGAAATTTGTTATTTTCGTTATTTTTAGGCAGAAGGAGTAACACTTTGAGAAGTGTTTTTCATTCTCATGACTTCAGGATTTGGAATTCCTTTGTGTGATTTTTAAGTTTGGAATTTGAGGGGTGTCAGTTTTGATTGTTCATTTTTTAAAATATATATTATATATCATATAATATTAATATACAATATATTAAATATATATTATATTTTGAACATATTCATATAAATGTTTATCTATATTTATTTTTAGATATGTTTATTTTAAATGAAAATCATGGGTTTAAATCTCTTCACTTTAGCCACTAGAACTTTACAGCAACACAGCAACCCCATCCCAAGATCTCAGCAACACGGAATATCTATGTTTGCACCTATACAAGACTTACAAATAAATGTATTACACTGTTATATATTAGACTGCTGTGTGTATGAGTACTGCTTGATACTTGTAACCATTTTTATTTGGTATTTAATACCTTGGAACAGGTTTGTAAAAATGACTGAGTCAGATGCTTAATTATAATGTTAAGCAGTCAAGATACTTTGCAGATTTCAAAAATGTAATTCTCCTGTTTATGAGAGTCTGCATCTTAAGCACAAAGAAGTGATTTTTTTCTGGTTTTAAATATCTATCTCTTATGTGCAGTCTCACTGTTGCTCTCATTATTAAGAGCCCAATTCAAGTGATACAAAGGGATTTGGTGTCCCTGATACTTTGGACTATTATGTTTTCCCTGGCTCTACTCTAAAACAGTGTTTGCAATCATCAAACGTATTTCTAGCAACTCTCAGAGTTTGGTTTGGTTTTAATTATGTTGCTGATGTGTTTTCTAGACTGTTTTAAATTAAGTTCAAAATACAGCTAATCTGTGCGGTTCACTTAAAATACTTTATCTTTGACTTGTATTTCAGAATGAAAAGAAAGTTCTATTCATGGGATGAATGTATGAATTTGAGAGAAGTCAAGGTAAAATGGTGAACATAGCACACTTAAAAATACATGTCTGGTTGCTTATGCATGAAGGACAAGGGCATCTAAAATGTCCAAGCATAAGGCCAAACTTTGTGAACTCTTTAAATGGGGGTGACAGATTCCACAAACCACAAAAACTCCTAGAGCTCCTGCCACTTTGTGAAATATCCCACTGTTCTCAAGCAGTGGCCATGTCTCATAGCCAACCTCTTGTCTTTGAGAAAAGATAAAGAAATGGATTCTGCGTGTGTTTTTGAGTTTTGCCACCCAGCATATTTCATTTTACTAGCAGGTTTTCAGGTTATATATCCAGTCCTTATATCATATATTTGGGGTATTTGTAGAAAGCACTGTGAGTTTTCGCTAGCTGAATGATAGAATAACACTTGAAATTCAGGGCTTAAATTCCAACTCATCCCATGTTTCAGGCATCTGGTTTTCTGTATGTATAAAACTCCCTAACAAAGGAGTTAGGCATGCATAGTTTATGTTTAATTTACTGGAGATGCACATAATCAGTATCTCCAAAAAGAACACCTGTAAGAGAATCTTTGTTCCTTAAAGTTTCATAACAAAAAAATTGTTGGGTTTTCTTATTCAGTTCTGTGAGCAAGAGCTGTTAGAGCTTCAGAACTGTCTTTCACTGTAGGGAATTAGGATTTGTGTTAATCACTCCAGCTATGATGAAATCCTTAGAAATAGAAGGTTTAAACTACTATTAGTATTGTTACTGTTTTGTTTTGAGATTAATTTTAAATGCTATTTGGTTGTTCTTTGAAATAGAGATTACAGGATAAATATGGCCTGTCAGATGGACATGTTTTGTAAATTCTGTTCTAGAAACTTGCACATTAAAAGTCTAGTTCTGCTAAGGAATCAAAGTCACTGTTGAGTTACCTGAAGCCATATTTTACTCTATTACAGTCTCTGAAGAAGCTAAATCATGCCAATGTAATAAAATTGAAAGAAGTCATACGAGAAAATGACCACCTTTACTTTGTATTTGAATACATGAAGGAAAATCTTTATCAGCTAATGAAGGACAGGTATGTCTTTTTCATAAAACAAATACCATGCCATCATGTTTTATTCAATTATTGTTATGCTGCCTTGAAGAGCACATTGGAATTTCTGGGTTTGGCTCTTGTTGCAGCCTGGCTGATGTGAACAGGAGTTGCTGCACCTGCAAAATTCTAAGGGTAGAATTCTGTAATGCTCTTGGAAATAACAGTTTGTTAGGTTGTTTACAGGGTAGTTTGCATATCTTTGGGTGTAGAGCCATGACAGAAATTCCAAGTACTTTTTTTTTCTTTTTTTTTTCTTTTTTTTCTTCATTAGTCTTCACTTTAATACATGAAGGATTGGATAAACACTTCTTTCTGCTTTTGCTCATGGATTTGGCTTAAGGTGGGGATGGTCATCTGCATGTACCTGCACGCACACTCATAAGACCTATTTACAGACTATGTGGTGTTGCAATCTTGGACAAACAGTACCTAGCAAGGCTTGAAAAGTGGACTTTGGAATAGGACCAGCATTTTCAGTAACATTTTTCTTCGTTGAATTCTTTTGCCTTTAACGTCTGTTTCCTTCAGACATTGTCATGACTTTTTATTTCTCTACGTAGAGAGCTCTTAGGTTCACATCCTGAGATAGCCAATAGCAATATTAGTACCATGTTACCCACAACTGGGAAGCATTGCTCTCAATCGGGGTTCCTTTAAGGCTACCACCACTAGGTGACACACCTACCACATTTCTGCGCTGTGCAGTCTCTGCTTCATTATTGTGCATTCCATGTTCATCTGGTCAAGCACACCACTGGCCAACGAGCTTCTACAGAGAGGTAGGATCATGAGCCTCTCTGCAGAGAAGTTCCTCTGCAGCACTTGAAGTAAGTGAAATTAAGGCCTGGCAGCAAGTGAGTTTTGAGATAAGGGCTAGTTGTATATGTCTGTCACTGTGCACAAGACTTGATGGGTCCATTTTCATCTGTTCACAATGTGTAATGCAAAATAAGAAACATGTATGTTCTGAAAATACGTTATTCTTTTTAATTACATAATGTTGTTAATCTGTTCCTTCACAGAAACAAGTTGTTCCCTGAGTCAGTTATCAGAAATATGATGTATCAGATATTACAAGGGCTAGCTTTTATCCATAAACACGGTAAGTTTTGTGCTAGTTTAACTGTGTAGCACTTTTTTAGAAAATCAGATAACGCACAATAATATGAATAAAAGTATCTAGCAAAGGTTGTTAATTATCTCAAAAATTATTCTTATCTATTTCAAGTACGGTACACTTTAAAACTATATCTGAAGTTACACTTTGTTTTCCTATAATCAGATTTTCTTTTCTATTTGTAAGCACTGGATACTGTTCATGCACTATTGAGTACTTTTTTTCCCACCATAGTTACCAGGTGAATAAACAAATTAAAGAATCTTTTACCATACCATACTATGCATTTCTGTTTCCTCAAACAGATCTATTTATAGACCACTGACACTTTATTATAGCTAATATGATACCCTACATTTAAAAGAATTCTTAAAATAATTTATTCACTAAAAAATTCAAATGGTCTCAACAGTTACAACCTGGATATAAATATTTTAAGATGTGGTTTTTCTAGGAATTATAAACACAGTCTAAGTAAGAGGTTCTGTGTGCTCGCAACAACAACAAAAATGTTTACAGCATTTACAAGACTTTTAATGCTCATGTTTAATATCTGTCCACAAACTGCATTCTGAAATACTGGTTTTAAGCTCATTTGCATTTAAAAACTCGCATGCTCAACTCTTATTTTGTATTTGTCCTTCATAACATATTTCCAAATACAATAAAATGTTAGTTGAAAATGGAACAAGGAACAGTGTTCCCAGTAATTGTTGACTTGTTTTCATGAACCCTGATGAGGCTTGTTGATGAATTCAGATAGCCAAAAATTGTAATTCCATGTCTTTCTGTTCAGGATCATAAACAGTTCTCTAATCAGTAGAATTCTCTTCTTCCTCATTTCTACATGAAATGAATAAGAAAATTAGAACTTAAGAAAAACTGCTACTTATAAGTTAGAATATTGATATTTTGGTTTGACCGTAAGTGTTTGGGAATGACAAGTATGATAAATTTGAACATTTACACTTCACTGGAATAATTTCAACCAATTTCTTGCAGTGGTTGTCAGTTTCTGCATGCAGAAATTGAATGCTTTATTGTAGCAAGTGCATTTCAATCAAAATGATGTATAACAAATTGCATGTACCAGTTAAACAGCAGAATTGATTTGCTTAGTGATATAATTGCTGTCCAGGTATGTAGGTGCTCAAGCCAACAGCAAGCAATCAAGAACCTTTATTTTGATATCTTTTATATGTCTGTATCTGCAAGTTGTTGCCACAGTGATAAATAAGCTAGTTAAAATTGTTCAGGGAATTTTATTATTTGAGTAAGTGTGTCAGAAGCTCAATTTTCCATTACCCAAAACTGACAAAGCAGTTGTAGTTTTTGCAGAAGATTTCATTCTGACATTCTGAAATTGATTTATTTGATCATGTTGAAATAGCCAATTCGTTTTCTTCAATATGTTAATGAAAGTTTACATTTGTTAATTAAAGAATAATTGGTGTAATAATCACTGGGGGGAAAAAATACGTGTACTTGCTGAGGGGGAGGGTTGCCATTCTTTTCTGTTGATTTTAAAAAAAAAAAAAAAAAGACACCAAAAAAACCCCTATATTCTTCCTAAATATCCCATTTAGGTTACTCTATTAGAGGTTGCTGTTTAAGAAGTGATGATATAATAATTCACTGTTCTTTTCCATCTGGTGTTCTATAGGATTTTTTCATAGAGATATGAAGCCTGAAAACCTTCTCTGTATTGGACCAGAACTTGTGAAAATAGCAGATTTTGGTTTGGCTAGAGAACTAAGATCTCAACCACCTTATACAGATTATGTTTCTACCAGGTGGTAAGTATATTAATACATTATTTTAACTAATTAGCTTTCTCTTACCATTTTATCTATAATTTCTTTTCATCCTTATAGGTATCGTGCTCCTGAAGTTTTGCTAAGATCATCTATCTATAGTTCACCTATTGATATGTGGGCAGTTGGCAGCATAATGGCTGAATTATACACACTAAGGCCTCTTTTCCCAGGCACAAGTGAAGTAGATGAAATCTTCAAAATTTGCCAAGTATTAGGGACTCCAAAGAAGGTAAGACTCAAAAAAAATTCACACAATTGTATTTATATAAATTTTTAAAAATATTATAAAACATTGAATGTTATCTTTCTTTTGGAACGTCCATATTAATTATTGGTTTAGTAAGTTTCCTGTAGATGTAAGGTTTTATCAACTGTATGTATCTTAAACTTCCCTTAAGGCACGTAATGTTAGTCTTTTGCTGTGTATCAGTATCTAATGTACGTCATACTATTATGTGTAGGCTTGCTCTCCTCTAATGAAAGCCAGATAAAATTGTTTAGTTCAGTTATTTAAAGCTATACATACTGGAAAGAACATCGGAAGTATCCTAGAATTCCATATAGTCAATTTGCTTCCCTTTCCTGAAAGTGTAATTCTTCTAGGCTGGCACCTAGAATTTAGAACTTGTGGAAGATACCATAAATAAGATAAATTATGTTTTTCTTAATACTAAACCATGAAGGAAGCATTTGATCTCAAACACAGATCTCTCATAAATATTATTAGCAATAAAAAGTAATGGAGGAAAAATGTGCAGTATTTTAGAGAAGAAGCAAATATTGTCAGTTTTTTTCTGAACAGGCTAAATATTATTTAAATTACAAGAAACATTTGGGTAATTCATATAAAAATAGGCAATTGTATTTACTGCAGTTATAATGTTTTAACAAGTGGGTATATAAATATACAAGAAAAGAATAAGCTTATTTCAAAATATTGACTAAACTGAAAAAAGACCATATGAGTTTTGGGTTGTTTGGTTTTGTTGTTTGTTTTTGTTTTAAATCAGATAAGATATAGCAGATGTATGTCATTACTTTATGGGTGCAAACAGAACTCTGCTATATAACTGACTGAACACAGAGCCTCTAGGTGTGGAAAATGTTTGAGTGGGAGAGAAAAACATCAATTTCATTAGTGTTCTACTGATTATAAAATATAGCATAATTCTTGACCCCTAAAGGAGCTGTTATCAATAGAGAAGTAAGGAACAGAAATGGATTAAGCTACCTAGGAACATGCGAAGTTTGAAGTGCTGGAAAAACATCCAAGAGAACGTACTGAGAAATAGGTACAAACTTGTGACAAGTCATAGAGTAAGAGGTTAGAGATATAGATGATATGTTGGGGAAATGAAAACTGAGTCTAGATGTGTAAGTGCAAATTGCTGTGATATATAAAACAGTGACTGTTATGACAATTGTGTGTCAGAAATAATGTGTAATGTGAATAGTATTGTAAGACTCAAGTTTTCAAACACAGGTGGTAAGTTTCTTAAGCAGCTCAGAAGTCTTGGATAGCAAGAACATTTTGGTGGATATTAAGAGTGAGAAAGATCTTCCGGAACATTTGCAATGTATAGCATAAACGAGCTCTGGAAGTGCAGGCTATGGGATCAAGAAGCTTCAATTAGTTCCATTGTGACCCTGTCATCTGGTGGGCAGACTTGGGAATTTTATCTCCTTACAACAATGCAAAGACATCCCCTCTTTAGGGAGGTTGCTGTAGGAGAAGAGTACTTAAATATTAAATTATTGGAATGATCACAACAAATGATGCATTTGTCACAAATTGCTCAATTTTTACAAATTCATTACATTCTGCATTCTGAAAAACATAACCAGCTATTTTCAGAGTCTGGTTTTGAAGATAGTTTTACAAATATGGTGGGTTTTTTTTGAATGTAGGTTTTCATTTATTCCATTTTCCTGCAATAAGGAATTTCAAGGTTTATGCTTGGAAGCAATCATCATTCCAATTTGCCTTCCTTTGTTTAAGTCTGTAATACCATACTAATGACATATGTGAGTTTGATTATTTTTTTTTAACAGTGACATGCAACTGTTTTGCTTTATTTAATAAATGACGTTGCTTTATTTATAAAGTTTTGGCTTATTTATTTTATAAATAAAACATTAAGTTGTACCATTCAAGTACTGGCAGTGATGGTGCATTTGTACTATTCCAGTTTAATGAAAAAGCTGATGGCAGTCTGAAAAGGAAAGATGAACTAAATACATTTTCATTAGCTGAAGGTTGACAATGGCACTTTCAATAATTCCAAATTATTTTTTTTTTAATAAATTGAAATGTATTTTTCATTTTTGCACTTGTACAGTTTTCATCCTATCCCTGCACTTCACTAGTTCAATGCGCAACCCTTGCTACTTAATTCTGATTGTTCCTTTATCACTATCTCTGGCAGACAGAATGTTATCAAATCCAGTAAGGGAGGAAGAAAAATACTTTTTAATGTATAAAAAGTCTGGTTTAGAGAGAAGAAGTAAATACTCCTCCTTGGTATCCTTGGATGATAACACACTCAGCAATGGTCTTTTATTGTCAGAAGAGAAACCTACATTTTTCTATCTTGAGGAGAATTAAGCTCTGGAAGAAACTGTTCATAGTGGTTGTGGAATGCCACTGGGAGCTTCTTGAGACTAACACCTGGCAGGAATGGACAAGAGCATGGATTGGATCATCTCTTGAGATCTTTGATAGTCTAATGGTTCTATGTTCAAACAATGCAATTACCAGGAGAGGAAGGACTTCAGCGTTTACTTTTGGAAAGTTAAAACACTCAAAAAAGAAAAAAATTCTCATCATGTTTTTGGTTTGTTGTGTTTTGGGTTTTTTTCGTGCTGTAATAGTGTCTAGTTGTAATTTAATCATTGACTATCTTAATGGTGGAATCAGTGGTATAGTATAGGCTACACCACCATTACGCAACCACGTATGCTGGGTGGAAGGGCCTCACCTCTACTGTTCCCATAAAGAAGGTATGTTGAAGTCAGGTGTTTCAGCTCATATCTGTGGTAGATGGGAGGTTCAGTACTGCTTCTGGTACTACTGCACTTTCTTCTTCTTCAGGTAGAATATGTCCAGGTATGGTACCCACAATTATGGTTCCACCTTTGCCTACAGGAGAGCTTGAGAAAAACTGCCACTGGGGACTGGTGTTGAGATCACTGGTGTAGTAATTGTAATGGAAAATAGAAATGCCTGTTTTCCAATGTATAGGAAGGAGCTGTGCAAACCAAGATGACTCAAGCTGCATAAAATTAAATTTGATCTAGTAACTTAAATATACATAGTCTTTGTTCTTTTTTGGTACTGATTTTAATTTTCTTTGGAACAGAGTGACTGGCCAGAAGGATACCACCTTGCTTCTGCTATGAATTTCCGCTTCCCACAATGTGTCCCCATAAGCCTAAAAACTCTCATCCCAAATGCAAGCAACGAAGCAATACAACTTATGAGTGATATGCTGAACTGGAATCCAAAGAAGAGGCCTACAGCAAGTCAGGTCTGAGCACCTGAATGATTAAGACTGAATTTGCTTGTTAAAAAGTTGTAAATATAGAAACTGATTCACTGCCGTAATACTGATGGCCAGAGAAATGTCTCCTCATTTTGAACACTTTGGTGAGAACGAATCTAGCAGTGAGAAAGTTCTAAACCTCACTCAGCAGACAGCATAAACTCCTTAGCTATTCCTGCTATGTTGTTTTCTGTATTGGCATATTCTAAAATGTTCTCTGTACAGGATAGAGAAAAATCTGAGCTGCAAGTTTCCTCAATTGTAACTGTATGTCACTTTTGCTGCCTGTTTTTTCCTCCCCCATCTGTACAAAGAGGGATATTTAAAATTAAACGTTACTTTTGTGAAGTTGCGGATGGAATGGAAGAGCTAAAAATATAAGACTAAGAGCTATTTTTAGTTGGAAATGGGATGTAAACCATACTAAGTGCTAAGAACTTTGTGAAGAACATACCAGTAGGTCACAAAGGTTACTGTTCTTCTACGAGTTACTTTTAAAGAACAATTTCAAGTACCAAACATGGTTATATTCTCCTGACCTTTTTATTATTATTTTTTTTTAATCCAGTATTCATACCTAGTGCAATCCTATTTAGAAGGTATAAAAGGAGAATACAATAGGGAAAGGAAAAGGACATTTTGCAAGTTATCCTCGGTGGATGTAATGTGATTCAGAAGTGGTTAAGCAGATGGTACCAAGTAAAGCAGCCCTTTCTCTCCACTTTATAAAGCATATCTATTGTTGCAGTCACTGAGATCTAAATCTAGTCCAGTGCTGTATATCGCTGTACAGAATACTGCATGGCGCTTTATGAAAGTAAACAACCAGCTTTTGCCCAAGTGAGTTATCAAGGAAGCAGCTGCAGCATTTGTGTAATCCACAGCCAAAAGGAGAGTTTAATGCATATAAATTGAACTGTGTACAAAGGCAGCAGTTCTTAAGTGCAGCTAAAGCAAAACATCCTTTGAGAACTAACAAAGAGTAGGATCGTACCCAGAAGGAGTAGCAGAGTATGTTGTTTTGACATAGGAGGAGCTGTGTTTCTAAGTTATGTCCATGCTGTTTGTCTAGAGGTGGACATTAAAAGATCAGAGAAAAAGAATGAAATACACATCTGCCCAAAGACAGACACTGTGTTCCTAATAAATACCATGAAAGCACAGCAAACACAGTGACTGTACTTAAAAGCAAAACAAACACAAGGAAAGCTGGTGATAAGAACATGAAGGAAAAACTTTAATTGTAAACCCCATACATTAATGTTAAATGGCAATCATCACAATTCTGGGGTTTTGGTGTTTTGTTCAGTTTGTTTTAATTTGTTCATCAAGTTGCCAAAACATACTTAGCAGTGGAAACATGTAATAAAGCATGTGGTAAAGGTAGTAGAGACTCCCTTGTCCAAGACTGAAATTTGTTGCTGCATGAATATAGAATGGTGTTGAATGTAAAATGCATGGCAAAACACAGATTCTGCAAAACCTAGAAGTAAAAGAGGGAAAGAAAGGATGTGACTGCTGTTAACGTGTTACAATTGGACCCATCTTACTAATTTATATGATGGGAAGAGTTTAAAATACAGATTTATCAATTCATGCTGTTTACACATGATCTCACTATGCATTCGTCTTGCATCTCTGCCTTATGGCTTGCTCAAATGCTTCAGGAACCTGCTTAAAGTAAGCTTTTTTGAGGTAAAATTAATATGTTGTATCTTCTTCAGGCTTTGAAGTACCCTTACTTTCAAGTTGGACAAGTTTTAGGACCTCCTCCACAGTATCTGGAGAAGCAGACTCCTATTAAAGCAGTTCAGCCAACAGAGCCAAAGTCAATTTTACCTAAACTGGAAGCTATATCCAAGCCAGAACCTCTGCCTTCACCGGATGTACTGGACAGAACACAGCCACAGCCCTTGTCAAAGGTTAACCACCAGCCTCTCCAGCAAATTCAGTTGCCTCAGAATACTGCTAACCAGCAAGTACCAAAACAGCAGCAGCCACAAGCACAACCATTTTTACCAGCTATCAATAAAAACTCATTGCCAGTAAGTTGTCTTCAATAAATATTTAGGTGGTTTTATTAAAGGTACTTACTATATTCAGGCAATCCCTTGAAAATTGTTAGACATTTTGTTAGAAGAAATATAGGGAGGTTGCTAGGGACTCCTAAAGGATACAACTGGCAACTTCCTGAAATTTCACAGCAAATAAGACTAGATTGCTTCTAACAACAGTGTATGTTCATTTATAATAGCCTTTACTATCATGCTTATGCAGTAACAACAGCTAAGTGGTTACAATAGCTGTCATTTACTTTGAGAAACAGTTCCCAACACCAGTGTTAGTGTGTAATAGAGAAGTGGAAAGGGAGAACTTTGCTTGCTTCAAGCAGTAAAACATCTGAGAGTTCATCCGGTTACTAAGCTTGTAAGAATTTACCAAGGTTTTTAGCAAGATGAACATTAAGCTTCGTAACCTTTATTTTGCTTTCCACTTATACTTGCTGAACTAAACTATGGAGTATGTTAAGAATAATAGGTATTCAGAAAATATAGGAAAGCAAACAACAGTCATATGAAAGGACAGTTTTAATATCTAGTAATTTCTTTGGAAAATAGTGTTAAAGGAAAGGCCTGATAACTTTATTTGCTGTGTTTATTTTGGGGCCACTGCAACTGGCATGCCTAAACCCTGAGTATAATTGCTGTGAATGTTCTGCACTGGTGTGCTCTACTCCTTGACAGTTCATCTATATCACTATTGAGAGCATGAGTTCAGCAAGACATGAGTAGAGGCTGAGCACTGAACTGGGTCTGCAAGTTGAACATTAACTTTGGTATTTCAGGTAGATTTGAGAAGGATGACAGTCTAAATGAGCTACACTCAAAATACTTGCCAGCATTATTGTTTTCTGCTTAAAATCATGCCCTCAAAGTTCACAAGTGTAGTCAGGAAGTGAACTAGATACAAAATATAGAATTATAGAATTGAATTGAAGCTTTTTTCATATTTAAAATAGAAACAAACAGCTAATGGCCCTCAGAGTGGTACAGTAGGTCCTAAAAGCTGCAGAAGACGATGGGGTCAGACTTTGGTAAAGGCTGTGGACAGCTGGGATGACTTGGATGACACAGAATTTGGAATGTCATGTTCAAAGAAACCTAGCATTGCACTGTTAAAAGAAAAGAAAAACAAGGAGAGTCTCTTTAGGTAAGTCCTGAAATTGTAAAATCACATTTTTTAGTAAGCAATATCCAGTAGGTTTATAGATTTATTAAGACAAATCGGCTAAAATATAAGTCACCACGCTTCTGCAGGAATGCAGAGAGCTGTATAAGCAGACTAGCTTTGGGTGTAGTGTTGATACAGCACCAGTGGTATCCAAACTGAGTCAGACTTGTTTTCAGGGACTGTATGGTTTAGGTGTTTGTCATGCTATTAACAGTGTGTTTTACTAAAATTGGATATACTAGCTTCATTTCTTTTGTCCGTTAAGTGTGGCTCTCAGCTCTGCCACAGGTATCTGCATGTACCTGAATTCTTCTTTGTCCTAGGTCAAACTCCTGTGAGGTATGAGGTTTGGCTGTTACTTTGTGGGAATCAATTTTACTGATGAAAGTAGGGTAAGAGAAGAGCACTGTACTCTTCAGGCTAGGGTCAGCTTGTGGTATTCTATGCTGGAGTTGTTGGTCACATCTTGATTTTTGTTTGAACATCTTGATTTTTTCAGTGTGCCAGGACCAAAAACTTCATTCTCTATCCAGCCCGGAGGGGAAAATAAGGTTCTGATGACAAATGATTCTGGAAGATTAAATACCTCAGCAAAGCAGTACTATTTAAGACAATCAAGATACCTACCTGGTAAGGATAAAAGTCAATACGTATGGAAAATACAAGTTATGAGCAGTCTAGGTACACTACATTTAAACTTTAGATTTCATGCTGGGTCATTTTGTTGCTCATAACCAGGCTAAATTTTCAAGTTTTGGCCTAAATGCTTTTCCCATAATGTCTCTCATCATAATTAATGCAGAAGTTCCTGGCCATATAAATGTGGAAGGGAGCTCAATGCTGCTTATACACCACAAAAGCTCACAGGCCTTCTTATGACTACTAACATATAAACCCCTCAGTAATATGAATCCAGTGTCTCTTGGATTCCTAGGGATATGTCCTGATTTGACCCATAAGCAAACGTATCTGAGGACTAAAGAAACCACATATATATATATATGGAGAGAGAGCATAGTTCTCAGTTTTGAAGGTTGGCTTTTTTTTTAATTTAAAGTTCTGGTAAGCACAGTTACTCTCACATACTCATTTCCCTTCCCAAGGCAGTCATCTTCTTTAAAAATTAATAGCTTAGTCTGAATCTGGGTGATTTTATCAGGAAAATAACATGAAATGATGAAATTGCTAGGAAAAAGAATGGGAAGGAGTTAAAAAAAAAAAAGAGAATGTGTCCTTCAGTTAGTACTCTGAATGTGTTCTGTAATCAAATTATTTCCTTGGTGTTCTCTTGGTGTTTATTGTATTGTTTGCACAGTTACAGTAAGTGTATAATGACATCTACTGTAACCCACGTATGAGAATTTAGGTGGCTCACAGAGGAATTCCTAATTTGTCAGACAAGTTGTTTTGTGACAATGTATCACTGATTTCTCAGGAATTCATTAAGTCAGTGATAAACAGCTTAAGTCCAAAAGAAGTAAAAAAGGGGGAGTGGGTGGCGCTTCCCTGCATAAAGGAAACATAAATAGAAAAGAAAGCTAATCTTCATTTCTAATCTTTTTTTTAAGTGTGCTTCTAATGTCTCTCTGGTTTTAGTAGAACTTTCAATGAGAAATGCATAGACGTAAAAAATAATTTCAGCACTTAAGAAAATGATAGCTCCAAGGAATGCATTTGTTATTTATCCGTATTACTTTAGTTCTGTTACCACTAGGTCTGGGAGCTGCTTTCATGCTGTGTAATCCTATTAACTCTTGTATACGTTTATAGCACACTGAGGTGACAAGAACCTCTGCGTTCTACTCTAACTTATACCTGAAGAAATAGCTTATTTTCAGCCTTGAGAACCCTATTTTTTTATAGGTATTTTTAATCTGTGTTGATTGTTTGAGAGTAAAAAATATCAATAATGAGACTATGGATTTATAGAAATTAAGTAACTGTACTTAAAATGCTTTTAAAAGTTATCTTGAAAGCACAAAGGGAATTGTTCTTAACAATTAGCAGTGTTCTTAACTGTGTCTCTAGTTTTCATGGTTTGGCTGAAAAATCTGTCCTAATCGATGGGCATTGTTGTTTAAATCAATGGTGGCACTGTTGTTTAAATTAATGGTGTTTACATTATACCACAAATAATTCAGTGTTGCTTTACTGTGCTACAAATGTCCATTTTTCATGGGTTGAATTATGTTTGAGAATTGATATTTATAAAATTTTCTATATTTTTTTTCTTAAGTTGTAAACCCTAAGAGTGTCTCCTTAGCAGCAGTCAGTAAAGAAGGTTTACATGGAACCTGGAACAACCAGTTGTACTCTAAACCACTGGCACATGCTGGAGGAGGAATGACTTTCAACAGAAATACTACAGGTAAAAGTGTAATTAAAAGTGGACACATTATATCTCATCATACTTTAATTAATTAAGACCATCTGGTTTAACTTCCATTGTCAGGTTTAGCTTCTAGGTTGATACTTTTTTGTCTTCTTTTAACAACAGACTCTTAAAATAACAACTTCTTCAAATGTAAACCAAGTATTTTGCTTTCAGATCATAAAGGAAATATAGGCCAGCCCCTATTATAAATTTGTGTCAAGATAAATTTTGTTCATAACCCTTGTAGACCATTATTTTACTGTGTTAATTTAAGCAGATAGTTTGCCATCATTACTGCCTGGGCGGTGTGCCATGAACACTATCAAACAGTAGTCTCATATATGAAAACAAGATAGTGAGTAGTGTGCTCATGTAATAAAAGTACTGCCTAATATTCTAAACATGTCTATTAACAATCTACTAGCTTTGTCCTAAATACTTTGCTGCATGAAAAGTCCCTTTATTTTTGGCAAGGAACTGGCAGTAAGGTGCCTTTTGGTACCACATTTTGTGAAGAATGCCATTATCAATATTTTATAGAGTAGGACTAGTTAAAAGGTTTATCTAGGATTTGACTGAGGAAAGCATCATCTCAAGACTAAAATCTATCTTCTGACCACTAAGCCCTGTATTTTAAGTACACAGTCACATCACCATGTTATGGGAGCTTACCTTATTAACAACTTCACAGTATTGTCCATCCAGGGTGAGTCACTCCCAAATACTTTAATGCCAATAAATCACCTAGCCTTACATGCTTATACAGAAAGAACTTCAGGTTTGTTTACACAGAGGTGCTGCACCCCATTTTAATAGAAGTTTAGTAGCCTTTCTGCAATGTCAGCAAACTTGATTTTCCCTCTGAAAGTCACGTGAGCTGTAAGTTGTTCATCTGAAATTATGTGAAAGATTTTAGGAAGTGGAAAAAATGACAGCACCTATGAGAATTTCGATAGAATAGAACAGCCTTTTTTTAAGCAATCATCATATGTACCTTTTTGTTTTCCAAAATACAGTATCTGGATGCCTCAAGATTAATTAATATATTCATAACATAGTCATGCAAGGGAATAAGGCATAAAAAGGCCAAGAACTCTTTCCATGCATCAATAAGTTAGACCTCTACCTACTCAGTTGCACTGAAAATAGAATGAAAGTGCATGCTAATGGTAAAAATCCTGCATTTGTCTTACTGGATTACTTTGTGCATCTGTCAAAGGTTTGAGGAAAAATAAATACTGAAACTGATTATTTAGTGTGTTTGAAAATTCCTGGTATTATTTCCAGCAGTATTTTAATTTGCATGTGACATTTCATGTGCTGGGAGGCAGCAATATTTAAGACACACATGAAACCAGGATAGCTGGAGCACCAATCATGGAAATACAACACACATAAATTATGTATGTGTTCTTTTTTCATATTGACAGAACCAAAAGTTGACACTGGTTACTGTTTAGATAACTATGTTTAGTTTATTTGTCATTCTTTTTTCTTTTTTTTTTTTTTTTTTTGGTAACTCATCCACAACATTGCCCTAAGTTGAATAAGATAAAAGCAAATAGTTATAATTTTTTTATGAAGAATTGTAAGGTTATGATCAGTCAACTTTGGAGATACACCCAAGTGCTTAAACTTGCGATTTATGTATTTGTGTGACTGGAATGTGATTGCATTGTTGGTAAAAACATTTTTATTTTATTATTACAAAAGAACCTTATTACTCTAACAAGTTATTTAACATCTCCTGCTTGAAAAGAAAAAAAAGGAATAAGATATAGTTACAAAGATGTTAGATATTTCTTCTTTCTTGCTTTATTTTCCCTCATTTCTTTTATATCACCTAACCAGGTTCTTCATATACTTTTTCTAAAGTTCTGTGTTTCCATCTTTCTCTTCCTTTCATTTTCCCTGTCTACAGATGAGAACTTAATTATACCTATTGAAAAGCTATCATGCAAAGAAAGTTTGAATGAAAAATTAGAGGATCTGAAAGGTAATTTATAGCAATTATAGCCTGGTTCTTTGCACATTTCCTATTTATGTTTTACATTTCCTTGTAAAAATTGCACATATAATGCACATTCCCGGTGATCATATACTTTATTTTCAGTTGTAATCTGTTTTGGTAAACCTTGTTCTCTTCATTGTGACTTCTGGACTCTTGACACTGACTGTGCTTTAAAAGACAGAGAATATTTTATCACCCTGATTATAATCCAGCATATCATTGCACTGTTGATGGATAAGGGTGAGGAAGTGATCCTAAAGAAGCAGCATATGCATCTCTCTTGAAGGACTGCTTCTCTGTAACAGCACTTGGAACTTGCACCACTGACAGCATTCTGATTCCATTAACACTGATTTTACAGAGCATAGATTTTGGTGGTTACATTAGTGTAGGAAGGTGGAAACTCAGGTTTCCAGGGAGCCTAGTTATTGTCTAAACACACTGCTGCAAGCATTGTTAGGCTGCTGGACTGTTTGACCCCTCCCCTAGGTCCTGGCCCTTCTGGTGTGTACTGCCTGTGTGATGTGTTTCATTGTAGTTATTCATAGGTTTTTACACTCGCTACCCAGCTCAAATGATTCAATGACTTCATCATTATGAATTATCATAAATTCTTGATGAATTCTTCAATTCTTGATGAATTTTTCATCAATTATTCGCTACGAAGAATCAAGTATGTGTTGTTTGAGGTAGAGCCTACAGCCGGGGACGCACACTTGCTGACATCTTGGCTAGGAATGTTTGTGTGTACACCTGCTGCCTAACTTCCTGGATGCCTGGTGGATGAATACTTCTATAGCAAGAATCCTTTCATTTGTACAGGAATGGTCAGAGGTAAGAACTGCTTTTCAATAAGATATTTTATTTATCTGTCATTAGTCTGTTATTTTATATTGCTTTTTTTTCTTTTAATTTGCTTGTTCTTATCCAACAAAGGATCATCCCTGCAGACCTCTCTGATCCACCCACACTGTTTCTCCTGGCTGCACATTTCCATTTCCTGCATAAGGGTTTATAAAGGACACTGGACATTAAAAGGTAAGGAACCAAATAATAGTCAAGCAATTTTTGACAGGATAGGCAGCTTTACTGAGCTGTAGATAAGAATCAGACAGAAGTAGTCTTTCTGAGGTTATATAAATTAAGATCTGTCATGTTCTTATTTTCAGGCCTCAGAATTTTAAAGAATGCTACCAAGCTGTCAGAGCTATGAACCACTCTCAGTGAAATAATTAGGAATTGAGGGAATAACATTCTCTTATGTGTGTATGTGCGCAGGCGGGTGAACAAACCGTTAAAGCTGTGTTATTTTGTTTTTCAGGCAAATTCCTGAAAAGGAAGAACAACTTAAAGAATACAAGAAAATTCATTTTTCTTAGAATACTTTTATTAAAGTTGTATTTTTCACCAAGGCTTTTGTGTCATTCTTCATTATGCTGGAGACTGGCATCAACTGGACACAGGGAGCCCACATGGAAACCCAACTATCTGTGGAACTGATAAAAGTGACAGCTGGGAGAGGCTGATGAAACTGAGTTAGCTAAATGTTTTTTGTTAGTGCTCTTGAACAGGGAGATATGCAATATTACATAGCTGTAATTAGCTGAGGATACCTTTTTGGGGTTGTAGTTGACGAGTTTTAGAGCTTATAGATCCACTGCTCTAAGCTCTGAAATTATTACAGAAGACTGGGAGTCTTTGTGTGATGAGAAGCATTTTGGAATTGCACTGAGGCCAGAGACTGAGGAGACAAAAAGTCTGTTAAATCAACAATTACCGATGAAGCCATGCTGAGTACTAGTATGATAAAAATGCTCATACTTGATAAAGGTCAAATTAAAACTATGGTGCATGGCCTTGTAATTCACAGATTTAATACTAGGTACAGAGCCACACCACTAGATAAAAGCGCTTAAAGCAGCTTTCAGTAAAGCAAGTAGCTATAAACAAAAGGTAAGATCCTACCTTTCTCTAAAACTCAGTGTAAATGTTCTACAATGTCTAAGTTTAACGAAAGTACTAATGAAATGTTTGTCATGCTCTGTTGTCTTTATTCCCACTGAATTGCAGATCAGATGTACTGATCTGCAGCTTACCAAGTCTCTTAAATGCTGTAAAAGGTCTAACTAATACACAAAGCAACTGCATACACTTCCAACAGACAAGTACTAGGGAACCTTTAAAGAACGTTCATACTTGGAAATCTTGTGGTACTGCAAATATATTTTGAAGTGACTTTAAAAAGTAGGCAAGTTTTTCTGAACCCAAGTGAAAATATTAAACCTCTGTAATGTCAACAGGAAATCCTGGCTTTGTAAGTGGTGCTGCTTACAACCCATCAGGAGTATATACCTCTTCCTTTCATAAGAAAGAAGTTGGATCAGCAGGACAACGGATACAGCTAGCTCCTCTTGGTGCACCTGTATCAGGTAAGAAACGTCCTTTTTCCACATGTATCCAAGACAAAGAGAAGTGTCCATTTCCCATGCTCCCTAAAATTATTCCTCTAAATTTAGATTTATTAGTCCTTAGTAAAGTTTTCCTCAAGTTTTGTAAATAAAATTCTTGGGCATAAATCGTTCTTAACACAAGTGAATGTAGATGTCTACAGGCAGTCCTGGTAGCTAAAAAAATTATAGTCACTGTTATTCGTTAGGTAAAAGAGAAAATAAAGGTGCAATTGAATTATGGCCTCAACAGTTTCAAAAAAGTCAAAGGATTTCATGAAGTGACTTAGTAAATTCACAAATAATGTTACAGTTCTGGTATAACCAGTAAATTAAAATTATTTTCTCTCTTATGTACTGGCCTTATCGAGTTGGCCTGTGGTTTCTGCAGTAGTCACATAGGCAGTTTTTTACTGTCTTCATCTCACTGTGCTGGCTATGTAAGTCTGTGGATACTGAGATGACACTTCTCTTGTACCCATGAAATACCACAAGAGTGCTTTGTGAAGTCAAACTTTCAATGTTGTTACATTACACAAGGGAAAAGACAAACAAGAATGCAAATGACCACTTCTTAATAGTTATGATACATTATGACATAACTGTACATTACTGTACATTAAAAGACTGCTTCATAAAAACAATGTGAAATCCATTCTGAGCGTAACTATTAGCTTGGATCCTCTATGGTATGGACGACATTCTGAGCACCTTCCTTTTGGGCATGTTTCCAGTTCAGAGGAGATGAGCAGAAGTGCTCAAGGATGCAAGAAACTGGTTTGTGAATGAAGTTTTAGACCTGTTCTCCAAACCCAACAGTACACTTCACTAGTTACTTCTGAGGAAATAGCAAGGACCTAAACTAATCAGAATTGTTTAACTGAAGGGCCTATGACAGACCAATCTGATATGGTCTTTCCTAATGTTGTCTTTTTTGCTGATGTGCTCTTTTTAGTTACCTGTTCCCCTTAGACACTTGCAAGTCACCTCTGAAAAGGAGAGAGGGAGGGAAGAGATGGCATCCATATATCAAATATGCTTAGATGTATGCATATTCTGAGTCGATCAGAAGCCCATCAGGGAAGGCTAGAGCTGCACTTCATTATCTTATCAACTCACAGCTGAAACACAACAGCAAGAGTTTTGATTTGTCACAGTGTGTGGATCAGTAAGTTCACAGGAGGACAAAATCTGCAACTATTTCTAGACTGCTGTGAATAGCAAGACCGAAAAGGAATTACATGTGGTGATCCAAAGGGAAATAAGTTCACTGTTAATCTGTAATTAGAAATTGAAAATGTGTAGTAAAGGCCAGAAAGGCTGGCAGATGTAGGTCAATTAAGAGACTATTCCATGTCCTGGAGAAGAGCAAGAATCCTATTGCTTAACCCCCTCGTATTTATCCTAAACTCTGCATACTTGCAAGGAAAGAGAGATAAGGATGAAGCAAATGGCAGGTTTTATCTCCTATCTGTCAATATTTGAACATTAACATTTTTGGTGACCCTTTGCTTTGTATTACCCAAACTGAAATAAGTTATGCTCTCAATTGCTTTTATTTTGTTTGTCTTCATTTGTTAAGTTTTTAATGCCATAATTTAAATAATTTAATGTAGCACAGAAGATCAGTTTCTCTGAGGAAAATGCTAACACCCAAGAAAAATGACCTTTATTGCCAAGAGAGGGTAGGCTGGAATTATACTTGTTGATGAAAGATAGGGAATGCCAGCCTACAATAAAAAAGAATAGTATTCATTTTCAAAGGGGTAGAGACCTGACACCCCATTTCAGTTCCCTGAGATTCCTCCTTTTTACATATCTTGATCCTCGCCTGGCTCCTTAATGGGTTCAAGACACTGTTGAAAAATACCACAAAAAAAAAATAGGTGGTTTTCCATAAGAAACAGAATGATACATAGGCAGGAAAATCTGTAACATGGTAAATTTAAAAATAAAAATAGTAGTATCTAATAGAAGACTAAAATACGAAAGTAGAAATGGAAAGGGCAGGATATACTTTGGGAATGCTAAGGAAACAGTAGTAACATGTAGTAGGAGTCTGGATAAGAGAGATCCCAAATGACTGACTTTAAGGGATTGGGAAAATGGCAGAATTGGTGATGAACATGAGGAAATCTATGAGCTGTCCGCCCCTGCAGCAGGACAGTTACTTTAATCACAGGCAGCTTGGGGTACAGGTATCTATCTGAAATGCAGAAACAGGAAATATGAGTAGGAAGGCTGGGAATACAGTAGTGCACATCTCAGTGCCTGACAGTAGGTGGATGCCAATATTAAGAGAATATTAAGGGATTAGAAAAAAAAACCAAACGAAAAAACCCCAACAAACTATAGACTTGGACAGATTCGACAAAATCAATAGAGAAACAGGAAATGGAGATGAAGGGGACTCACCACCAGGTACATCAGGAGTTCTTAGCTAAGGAGGAAGGAAATAAAAGGCATAAAATCTCAAAAGGAGCAAGAGGATCTCCAGAAGCTGTCCTTCAGTCTAGGCTTTTTGGGTCTTCATAATTTTACAAAAGTTCTAATTACATGCTTTTTAAACTATTTGAGATAGAGGAAAGAACACTTCCATTCTGTAGCGGTTTTGTAATAGGAGATACAGACTTGTAGACATACACATCAGGTTTTCCACTGAATTTCAGTCTCAATGTTTTCTTAAGGGATTGCTGCAAAAAAAAAGTATCCACTGGATGAGAACTACTAATAAGATACACAAATGATAAAAAACATTAATGTCATCTATAAACAAACATAGGCAGCACGTCAGAGAACAAAGCATCTTGCTGCGTTAGCATCCTTGAGCACAAATTGTCTTCAAGCTCTTTAATTTGTGAAAGAGTAAAATACCTCTTGAGTCATAATTAATTCTGAGTTCTTGTTCCTTTCAGATTATTCATGGAAAACCAAAGCTGCTCGTGCTCAGTTACCAGGTCCTACTTTCAATTCAGCAGCCAAAAATTTGAATATCTTAACTCGCCCACCAATTCAGCCAGTACATGGAAGAACAGACTGGATGGCCAAATATGGAGGAAACAGATAGAAAATGCCATCCTGTATAGATGTCAGTTATGTTCAGTTCTGCACTAGAAACCTGAAATGCCTATTTGCTCTAACTTGTCCTATGACTATGCAATGCTAAAGAAGGAAGAAAGACCTTGCTTTCTATTACCTGTATGATACATGTAATACCATATAAAATAGTGTAAGTAGGATTTATTGAGGTATTGTGTGATGCATATTGCCAAAACTACAGAGAAGTAGATTTCACTTGATACCTTTCTAAAGATGGAACTCGTCATACTCTTAAAACAACTGTTATGGTTGTTCGCCCAATGCAACATCCACTATTGGCATGTGTCTGAAATACACAGGCAGCTAGAAGCAGGGCTAAAGCAGAGCAGCACCATGCTTTCAGGTATTCAGCTGGTTCCTCACCTGAAAGATCAGAGTGAAAGCACAGATCAGGCTTTGTGAAGGGCACCACCTTCTCCTACAAGGATTTTGAAGCTCACCTGTACTTAAGAGTTCCTTAGGGTTTGTAATGTGCAAATATTCATAATAACAATGAGAACTTAACTCTTGGTGGTAGGATATACACAATCCACTGATAAATACTACACAAGGAAGGTCTAAAAGCTTAGCCCTTACATGGCTATAGAATGATATAGCAATACTGCAAAATAGCTAAACAAGTACTGGATGCTAGACTTATATCACCAAGCAGCAGTGAAGCCTGAAAATTAGAGTCTACTGTTATAATTAGCTTATTACCATTTTTGGTCAAAGATCTGTGGAGATTAATACCTATCCTGTCAAGGGGGTGTCACAGAGACATTTTAAAGAGCCTGAACCACTGCAGTCTGTCACTTATTTTAAAAGTGACTTAGTCAAAAAGACATGAATTCTCAGTAACCTGTTTCCATATGTCTTTATTGGGTGATCCAATTAAACAAGACAAGTTGAATAAGCTACGTGAGGGAGGATATTGGGCTGTTCTTCAAAACCACTGATTTCTGGTTTAGCTCTTAGAGGCTAACTTAGGTACCTGAAAGCACACAAAAACTTCAATAATGCAATACCTCACTGTTTATATTCTTATTCAGTACTTTCTCTGGCTTCCATGCTAAGCTTTATAATAATATCCTGCAAAGGACCTTGCAATATACAATAAATTGTTTTTAGGGCGTAGGGCTAGGCTACTTCTGTTAGCGACTGCATTAGAGTAGATGCTTTAGGCCTAGTAGTTACATTAAAGCTGCCATTTTAAAGTACAAAATGAGTATGTTCTTTAAAGATGTAAAGCTGTTAATGATTACATTAAGCATTGTAAAAAATGTAGTTGTATGGCTTTTATAACTGCATATAAAAATTTAAATTCCTGTTGTTGACCTAATGTGTTACAATATATGGGTTACATTAACTTCCTGGAAATAAATTTAAACCAGTTGTATAAAAAAGTCAAATATTTTGTTATGAAAATTGCACCTAAAGAAAATGCCACTTTCAGTACTGAAAGACCTAGATAAGGGTATCTGCTTAGTAACGCACCAGACAGTTTAATTCAGTTGCCAGTGGTCTAGGCATAACTGTCTGTCATTTCCTTAGTACTAACAGATACCCCTATGCTATTTAAATGCATCTTAAGTTATCTATAAAGTATACCTGCAACTGCTTGTGGCAATGAAGGACAGCCTCAGACTTTCAATTGTGCACTGATTTTGTAATTAAAAAAAACAAACAACAAACATGAGAAATGAATCACTTATCTCTAGTACAAGATGCTGTGATTTAGTTAAAAGCACAGTCTGGTCAAGGAATTGACTAATAACATGTCCATAGGTCACACGTCCGTAAGTCACATAGAGCAAAAAAATAAACAGCCACTATTTATGGCACTAAACATAGCTAGAAGAAACATGCTGTCCTTACCATATGGAACAGCTTTGACATAAACCGTAACAGCCTTTACTTGTCTGTAATCAAAGCGTAACAAGTGTTCAGAAAATCTTCTCACAAACAGCAAGAACAATCAGCAGTAAGAGTAAATATGCTTTATATAGTCGTTTTAACTCCGATTCATTGATATATGTTGAACTGTTAAGTGCAGAAATACCACTGAATGCTTAAGACATTTAATAAATATCCTGATAAAGTTCCAAGGGGGTAAAAAATATGTAAAACTTTTCTCTCCTCCCTGGTTTACTACTGTTTCTCCTGAGCATGGAAAGCAGTAACAAGAGTTCTGCCAGCTGTTCTGAATTCAAGCTACTCATTTCCAAAACTTATGAAACAGCAGCAAGTCTTAAGAGTTTGGTCTAAGAGTTTAAAAGCTTATCAGTCCAATTCCCTGCTTTCTGTTGTCTTTATTCCATTGAAGGACAGTTGCAGCCCAAATGTGAAGTTACCTGGTAAGAGACCAGCATTATAGAATTAGAAAACTGCTGAATCGTGGCTGTTCTCAATTTACTGCAGATGTATTTATGTTTGCACCTTACTTCCACAGAAAAGAACTACTTCAAAAGCAGTATGAAGAGGCAAATAACGCATACAGTAGTTTAAAGAGAAGTGGCTTAAATTTTAATGTCTGGCTTATGAAGCTTTCTGATCTAGAACAAAGATTTTCAGATATCTTCCCGCTAATGCTGGGTCCACGGCCTGGAATTAGGCACTTAAAAGGGTGATTTACAAACAAAATCATCTGCTGTCCTGCACACCCTTTGTTTCCATGCAGAGAGGAAAGAGGTGAAAGTGAGCACTCAAAGCTGAACTCTGCAGGATGATGACTGCCCTAGAGAGGTGTGCAAGTACTTTCCCCTCAAGAAATCTCACTGCCTGTGCTCAAGCCAGCTCTTACCCAAGTTGTGTGGCCTGGGACTAGGCTGCTGAGATCCACCGCTTGACCTCAGCCCTGCCTCACCACTGCCACTTGTCTGGCAAACCACCGCGTGGCTTGGAGAGCCCGGCTGCCACCACAGGCCTAACTCTATGTCTCCTGCCCCGGCAGCACCAGATCACTGCCCAGCCTGTTTTGCTGCGTCAGGGAAGGAAAGAAGGAAACCCACAAGATGTTACCCTCCTGCTAAGGTATTGGCCTGATATCTAGAGAATTCTGAGCAACTCCAGAGGCTCTCCAATCTAATGCATCAACCCCACTGCTTCTTTTCCCAGTACCAGCACCAACGAAGAATGACTGAAGAAAGCAAAGCTCAGAACCTGTGCAGAAAGGGACATAAGTTAAATGAAACCAGAAAAGGGATACATTACCACCCACATGCAGCATCCAGGCTTATTTCTGTATGGCAGGTTTATATTTAGAATGATTTCAGGCATATGGGGAATTGACTGAAGGCAAAGACTGATCAACTTCAGTCTTTAAATAAACTTTCATAGAGCAGTTTTCAAATCTAAACTAGAGGATTCCTCCCAGAAAGAAAACAAAATAGGAACCAAAACAACTTTAATAGAACACTTGTCTGAGTATGTGGTCTGCACGCTTTTGTTCTCTACATCTGCCCCCCAGTTCATGGGATTTTTATATTTACAAGTCATTAAATTCAGGGAATGGAATAGAGATTATTTATATAATTCATGTTTGCAAATCCAGGCACTCTGCAGAAAAGGTACCAAAGTGTACCAATGCAGATAAACAAATAATTGTGTAGAATGCAAAAGCTTGTAATAATAATTTGTTAGTTTATTTAGAATAACATTCTAATGCTCATTAAATGCCAGAGCTGTGCTAGCAGTTCAGCATTATCTAATAAAGCATATTTTCTGGTTTATGAATAGTAATTGTAAAAATGAAACAAATTACATTTAGCTGGGCACTTTTGTTTACAAGTAATTGCAAGTAACAGGTTTGCATGCATTACATTGACAGCTTGCTCCATGATTGCGTTTTGTGGGACCTGGCTCTAACACACAGTGCTGGAAGAACAAAGTCCCTGGCTGGCAAACATCATGAGTGGATGAACAGAAAGGGAGAAGTAACACAATAAGTACATTTGTTATGTTAGTTACTAGTGATAAGCTAGCACCTCTTCACCCACTGGTTTAGGGGTATAGATGATTTTACAATGGTAAATCCAGATTAGTACATTTAAGCTTCAATCCTGCAACTGTCTTCGTGCATGTGCTGAGAGATGTTTGCCTACAGTAAGCTGCAGGACCACAGGCTAAACCAATGCTATAATCATATTTTCTTGCTTCAAAGTGCAGAAAAATGTTAAGACGAATACTAGTTTGGAACACATAACAAGGGTTCTGAATGCTTGCCCTTTAAAAAGACAACCCACATATTAGGATATAAAAAGTACAGTGCACAGGTAGCAGTGCCTTTCCCACTTTTGTGTAGCACATTTAGGCAGTTGCATTTTCAGGCTTCTCAATCACATGTCTTCAAGTGACTTGACATAGACTTATGGCTTAAGAGGCTTTTCCATGAGCTGCAGTCCAAGCCGTCCAACCATCAGTAAACTGTTGAATAGAATAGTTAAGTAAATAGAAAAAGTAAAGGTGGTGGAGGGAAAAATCCCATAAAAAAACAACAAGGAAGAAACATTTACATTATTTCATTCAGGAGAACTTCGACAGAAGATTTCATTTTCACCACATAGAATTTTTAAAACACTGTAATCCACAAATGAGTCAAATAAAATGCTTATTCAAAGATATAGGCAAGAACAAAAAACAGGTGACTACCTGGCGCCAGCAACTACCCCAGGCATTGGTTTTCTGGAGTTGTAAAATCTCATTCCCATAACAGCAGACAAGGTCCCAGATGCCACTGTTGAAAAGAAACCCAGTCAGAACAGAAATACCAGTGCAGTGCTGCAACACTTGGACATTCAGCAGCACCAGCCCAACAGGCTTATGTCCACAGACAGGAATGCCTCCCTCTCTCCCTCCTCTCCCTAGGGAAGCATATGCAAACATTTTACTTATTTGTGTTGACCAGCAGAGCTGTTGCAAGCTTAGCAGCATCAGTAAGCTCCACTGCTCAGAAGTCTGCAGACCTCATCAGGGTCTACCCTCCGATCCTCTGGGCAGATGACTAACTCTCCCCCACTTTCTCCTTTCTTGCAGAAGAACTGTTATTTCCTTGAATACAGAGAGGCTCAGAACTGCCAGAAAACTGGGATGGTGGCTAAGTTCACTGTGTGGGAGGTAGATGTAACTACAGTTCCCATTTCTCTGTGACATTCTGGTCTGGAATGTAGCACTAAATACTACAACTAGAAATTAGCAAACAAAAAGCCATCCAGGGATCAAACTGAGAGAGCAACTAACATTTTAAATGTTACTCCAAATTATTTAATCTCCAAATCTGGAAAAAAAAAACCCACCATCAATATTCACATAAAGTTACAGGGCCCTTGTTTCTTCGAGGAAGAAAGGCGGGTAGAGGTGTCATATACCCTTTCCAAAGCTTCGGGTTTGTTTGCATCAGATAGGGCAAAAGACATTCTAAAGACATCCTGTCAAGGTTCTTTTTCTGTATTTCAACCTGAAGCTCAGTGGAAGCCACAGCTGCACATCACAGCAGGGCTGAGGTGGAATGTATGAATAAAGAGTTGTGCTAGAATGAGACATAACACCACTTTCAAGAGGTCTGCTTGAAAGCACTACATGCACTGCATCAGGACACACTGAAGCTGCTCACCTTTCTGTTGTGACACTGCTGACACTCGTGCTGAAGATGCACAGCCATTCCCACAGCATGCCGGAGTGGGAGAGACAGTTCACAAATGGAAACTGACTCACATTAAGCTGTGTTTTACATTTCACTCCTTCCTGACAAGCCAGTTTGGGCTCTGCAGTATCTACCAGGGGTTGTTTCCTAAGGCCTCTCATCACATTACATGATCAAGTCCTACAGTCTTAAATCACTGTGATGCTAGAGTATCGTAACAGTGTAATAATATGACATAGTTGCAGAACTAGAAGGAACCTCAAGAGGTCATCTAAGCTAACCTGGTGCCCAAAGGGCAGACCAATCCCTGACAGATACTGGTTTAACCAGGTATTAAAGTCCTGTGGTGATGGAAGTCCCCAAGATCCACCTGACCTCTTCCAGTACTTCATACTACTTTCCGCTGTCATTTTATCCTTCACCTGCAGGGTTAACTGCAAGCCAACCCGCCACTTCTAACAGAATAGATCCTTGCCTTCTTTCTTTCATATACTCCAGACTGTTTCTTCCACAGCATATGACGCCTTAAACATGTTTCGCTTTTCTGAGATACTAGTGCAAACCACCCACATGAAGCCACATTCCGCTTGTCACAGTGCTGTCACTACTGAAAAAATACTGATTCCATGACCACAGGCTAAAAATACTGTTTCGCAACCATTTTCCACATGTTTCCTGTGCCTACATTAGTTTAAACAGTACCTGATCTGGCAGAGGAGACAGGTATTTCTCTCCAACTCTGTCTTCAAGGACAACCTAGGTTTTAGAACCAGGTACCACACTCTTATACAAATATCTCCTGGCTGTGGGCAGGAGGCCCTGCCACCACTTAAAACATCTGTACAAATAAAAGGGCACGGATCAGCTAAAATGTGGTAGAAAGCAGACTACTATCCCCATTGCTACCAACCATGCTTAGCACTCGGGTGCTGAGCACACTTACCAAGGGAAAGCCACACATTCTTTGGATCTTTGGACTGCTGGTAAGCTCCTAGCCCTGCTAAGCCACCGAAGAGAAGGCCAGCAGCTAGAGAAGGGACGCTGCCTTGAATAAAATGAAAGATAAAGCAGTTAGTAAAAGAACATACATACAGCTGGTCTTGACAGGCCTCGGCCGAGCACCGTGTCTATGCAACAAGGGCTCAGCCCGGCTTAACGGGGTGACCCCTGGCCCTCTGCCGGCACACAGTGCCGGAACCTCCCGCGGGGCCCTCAGGGCAGGGCCGACACCCTGACCGCTCTCCGGACGGCACGCAAGGCCCTGAGGTCCGCCCAGCAATGGCACAGCCCTTCCTCCCGCCAGCAGCGCTCCAACACCCACCGGCCCGGGGCCGGCCGGGGCGGAGGCTGCCTGCGGGCAGGACCGGGACACCCCCCAGCCCGCCGACGCCGGCGTCGGCACCGGCACCTACCTGCTTTGGCGTATCCAACGACGCCGCCCGCCGCCACCAGCGCCGCGTAGCCGAAGCCCAGCCAGTCGTACTCCATCTGCGGACAGCGCCAGGCCTGGCCCCGCCGCCCCGCGCTCCGACCTTGGGCCGCCCTCCCCGCGGCCTCGGCAGCGCCTCCCCCGGAGATCCCGCCCGCCGGCCGTGACGGGCACACGGGGAGAGGCCTGGACGGGGCTGCAGCCGGTAGCGGTGCTGGGTGCGGGGGCTGCGGAGAGTCCCAGTGCTGCAGCTCCCCGGGAGCAAAACTCTGCCGTCACCGGTTACCGACACGGGCAGAGCCTGCAACAGGGCAAAAATAAAAACATGGCCTCCTCTTCTTCCAGGGTTCAACATCTCGCCGGGCTCCCTGCGGGTGGGAATGGGGGTGGCGGTCAGGCCATAAAGCCGCTTCTCCGCTGCTCCTTCCTCTTCACACTCTTCCCCTGCTCCAGCATGAGTCGTTCCCATGGGCTGCAGTTCTTCACGACCTGCTGCAGCGTGGGTCCCCCGCGGGGTCACCAGTCCTGCCGCAAACCTGCTCCACGAGCACTTCTCTCTCCATGGTCCTGCCAGGAGCCTGCTCCAGCGCGGGCTTCCCACAGGGTCACAGCCTCCTTCAGGCATCCCTGTTCTCCGGCGTGGGGTCCTCCATGGACTGCAGGTGGATCTGCTCCACCATGGACCTCCATGGGCTGCAAGGGCACAGCCTGCCTTACCATGTGCTGCCGGGAAATCTCTGCTCTGGTGCCTGGAGCATCTCCTCTCCTCCTTCACTGACCTTGGTGTTTGCAGAGCTGTTTCTCTCATATATTGTCACTTCTTTAGCTGCAGTTGCTCTTGTGCAGTTTTCTTTTTTCCCTTCTTAAATATGTTATCCCAGAGGCACTGCCACCATCGCTGGTGGGCTCAGCCAACAGTGGGTCTGCCTTGGAGCCAGCTGGAGCTGGCTCTGCCCAACATGAGGGCAGCTCCTCCTGTCATCTCACAGGTGCCATTGATGCAGAGGGTTGACCAATGTACAGGGGGGTTGTACAGGGGGGTTAGAGGAATTCGATTGCTTAAGCAAAGGCATTGCCTGTACCTATCATGCCTACTAAGCAGGACAAAGGCACTAACTATTGATAAGGAAAAGCAGACACTTGGTTCTACTGACAAGGAAAAGCAGACACCTGATTCTACCGATAAGCACCTATTGATAGGGAAAAGCAGACCCCTGAATCTACTGTTAAGGGGGAGAAGCAGCTGGTTTATGGCTGGGACCAAACCCTAAGGCCATACGTGAAAACTAAAAGGTGAAAAGTTCAAGAAGAGGAAGACTCATTTACTTCATCTTGAAGACCCCTACCCACAGGAGGAAGACTCATTTACTTCATCTTGAGACCCCTGCCCATGACCAGAGGGGGCACTGTGCAGGCGCAAAGGACCTTCTAGCTCATTGTAATAGGAAGCGGGGATAGGACATGGATATGTATAGGCGTATGGTGCAACCTTATAAATGTAGAGGGAAACAACACTGAGGCACGCATGACTTTGAGGAATTATCCCCATGCGTCTCAGCGCTGAATAAAAGCATACCTACTTTACAACTTTAACGAGTTGTGGAGTCAATCTGCGCATCACCATCCCTGCAACCTTCCCATCGCCACAACCTTGCCACATGAGCCCAATACAGATGTCAAAAGAAGGCAACTGGCTTCCCCAGAAACTCTGCTGAGGACATAGTGCACATGCTGGGTGACAGTGGTGATGTGCTACAGGGCACAATCCCCAGCACCATGTGGAGCAGCTGCCTGTATGGAATACAGTCCCAGCTCCTGAGAGAGGGTGCAGCTCTCCCTGGCTGAGGCTAGTGCTGCAGAGGTGCTTGGGACTGATCATTGCAGAGCAGCTTTGCAGAAAAGGCCTTGTGCATCCCAGGGTGTCACAAGTAGTTGACCATGAGGTAGCAACATGCCCTTGTAGCAAAGAAGGTAGATGGCACCCTGGGTTGCAACAGGCAGGTTGAGAGAGGTGGTCCTTACCCTCTGCTCAGTGGTAAGACACAGCTGGAGTGCTGGGTGCAGTTCTAGGCTCACCAGAGCAAGGCAGACAGGGACATACCAAAGCAGGTCCAGCAAGAGCTATGAAGATGATTAGGGGTTTAGAGCATCTTTCATACAAGAAGTGGCTGAGAGAGCTGGGACTGTTTAGCCCAGAGGAGTGGAGGCTCAGGAGCAGGCATCTTATCAATGTGTAGAAGTATCTGATGGAGCACAGTAAAGCAGATGGAGCCAGGATCTTATCAGTGGTACCCAGTGACAGGATGAAGGGCAATGGACACAAGTTGAAATACAGGGAATTTCATTTAAACATAAGTAGAATACTAACATACTGTGATACTGTGAATACTTTGTGTTGTGAAGATGACCAACCACTGGAAGAAGCACTCAGGCAGGCTGTGACATCTCCCTCCATAGAGATATTCAGCACCCAACTGAACACAGCCCTGAGCAAGTTGACTGTGCTTTGAGAAAGGACAGTTGGACTTGGTGGTCTCCAGAGGTCCCTTCCAACCTCAGCTGGTCAACAACTGTGCGTGACACAAGCTCTGTGAAATCGGTGCACATTTCCCAGCTGATCTCTGACTCTTTCCTTCCCAGTTGTGCTTTAAGAACTGCGCACTGAGGTTTGGGCCTGTGACAAGATCTCTTATATGTTTTCCAGGAGGTCCACCTGACACAAGAAGCAAACTGCCTTCTGACCCCTGGCAGAGCTTGTTCATTAATGTGTACCCAAAGGTTTATTAAACTTGGCGAGTTTCAAGGCCTGCCCATAGGACAACACAAATGACTTGTCGATCAAATGCAATGAACTGTCTTCCACTCTTGCTTCCATAGAAGACTCTAAAGAAGAAGTGTTCAGGCTAGAACTCTGTCCTGTTGTAAATGAACACTTAAGAGACTAGGACAAACGTATTCTGCCCAAAAGAAAGTTAATACGGTTGTCAGGCTTTCACTAAACAAACGAAACAAAACCAGAAAGGGCCGCTTATTGCAGTTTTATGAGCCCTATGGCAAACCAGAGTTTGCCCCAGGTTATCTGGAAAAGAAGGGTTACAATGAACAAATGACATTTACCAAAACAGTATTTTTATTCTATTTAACTTATCAGCTTTTCACATTCCCAGTTCGTTCTCCCATGTGCTGTGTTTTCCTTTTACCATCTTTGTTTTCCTTCTACCTCCACCCTACCTTTGTCCTCAGGCTTTCTGTCCTCTGTTCTTGGGTCCTACTTGCTCTGAGCTCCTATTTCCTATGAAGACCTCCTTGATTGCCCTTAATAGTGGGTGCATGAAAAAGACTAACACTACAGACCACATTTGATGAAGCTTCCTGCCTTTTGTAGAGGCGATTTGCATTTTTGTGCCATTACATGAGATGCAAATGTTTGGTCTAGGCACATAGGGTTTTCAGTGGGGCCTGAAGCATCTAGCCAGTACAGTGCTAATGGCTGTCTCCATGACTTGCTGATCAAAATCAGGAAGGCTCCTATGTTTAAAGCAGGACCTTTACTTTTGGTTTGACGTTTGACATTTGATCAGATTAGATAGTAAGGTTTACCTGTTACCTACTTAATGCCATTGTTTCGCCTTGATTGCCTATTTCTTGTGCCAATGTCCAACCTCTTTGGGTGCTCCGCCAGAAATGACATTCACACACCAGCCAGTTATTTTGTCATTCCTACCAGTGAGCCTTTCTGTTCACATAGCAAACCACCACCATGGCAAAATTTCTGCCGGTAGTCACGAGCCATGAGCTGGGAAAATTTGCTAGGCAAAGAGCTTTCTTGAATGGCCCCCTCTTAGCAGAGTTCTAACTCTTCCCTGGCTTCTCTGGCATGGGGAGAAGAAGGAGACAGCAAACAAAACCATAGCTGTAGTGTGGCACTGTGAATCTGAGCAATGAAAATCCATCTTCATACAGATCTATTAAGAATGGATTTATTTGCAGAGGGCCAGCAAAAGTGCCTCTCTGCTGTGCAGTAATGCCAATAACTCTCTTTTTTTAAGCCTTATGTCAAGACATTTTGTTCATTAGATATTTGCATGTCGGAGGCTGGTTCCCGGTGGAAGCTGGGGACGTTACTGTATTCCTGCACTTTTACAGCATAACAGTGTCTTGACCTCTGAATCGGTGTGTGCTAATGGGCAGATCTTGACACCACCCCCCATGTTCACAGTACCCACAGCTTCTACTGATAGGGGAATAGACTCCACAACTTCGTTAAAGTTGTAAAGTATCTCAACCCGTGGGAGTTGCATTCTTTTTTGATTCTCCTCTCAGTCCCTCCGAGAACAGGGGAGGGCAAGAAGGGGGGGGGGGGGGGGGGGGTGAGTGGACAAGCTGTCTGGCATTGGTTAAACCACGACAGTTTTAAACCAAAGGAAGTAGTTTTGTTATTAAACGGTGGAACTCTGTCTCAGGAAGCTGCAAAAGCCAAGAGTAAAAAATGGATTTAGAGAGGCTTCGACAAACTTACCAGGACAGGTCTACCAGAAGCTTTACCCTCAAAGGCTCACTGGTACTGTGTGTGAGATGCTACTTGTTTTTAACAACAGCCACGTTAGCTTTCACAGGGACCACGTCAGAAAAGCTCACCCCAAATTCAGAACAAAAACCCTGAAGCAGTAAAGCAGATGAGAACAGCACTCCATGCATGACTCCCTCCACAACGTCTCACTCCTTCTAAATTTGCTAGATGGGACAGAAAATAAAGGGGAGAGATTTTCTTTTAAGAGAAGTTTTTCTTTTCCATGGTTTTTCTTCCTGGGAAGAGTCATCACGGAGCTGTATCCCACTCTCCCGCTTCATAAAGCTCAGTTCCCTGATCATAACGTACATCTCAAAACAAGGACCACAGCAGAACACACTTGGCCTGCTCACCAAACCACGGCTCCCTTTAGTGGCCCCAAGAGAAGGTCCCTCGGTGGAGGGACAGAACATCTTCACACACCAGTAGACCATACTAAACTAGATCAACGAATTCGGGATGTCGTGGTGGAAGAGGAGCAGAGCTAGCATCACCCTACTAGCCCGAAAGGGGAGAACCAAGCGATGCCAGGATGTGCAGAGACACTGGAGCATGGCCACCTTCCTCGGCAGGCACTGCCAAGATATTAATGACCAAGTTTGTCAAGTTTACTC